CTGATAGAGAATTGACTATGTGAGGTGTGGCATTGGGGAGGGTGAAGGTTTTCACGGTGTCTTGTGTTATATAGATGGATTTCAGAGTTAACCTGGAAGAATCCATTGAAGGGTTTAGGTAAACTGTCTGGGAGGTATGAGTATTTGCAGATGAAAGTGCATAATTGGCGTAAATTAATGTCGTAAATAGACAAGATATTGAGTTTCTTAAACAAAGGTGCAGATGGAGCCATGTAATTAGAGGAGGTGGCTAGTCTTGCAATTTTCTTTTGTATAATTAGTAATTTGTGTAGGTAGGAGGCATATGTACTGGCCCAAACAATATTACAGTAAATGAGATATGGGTCAATTAAGCTATAGTATAGAGTTAGGAAGCAAGCCTGATGAACCAAACCACTAATCTTTTTGATGATACCAACAGATTTAATTACTAAAGACAAATTGAATATGATCTTTCCAGGATAACTTTTCATCAATTAGAACTCAGAGGAATCTAGTGAATGTGACTTGTTTCATTTCATTCCCACCAATTGAGATTCTGGCTCTTTATTATTTTTGTTATTTTATTTTTTATTTTTTACACTATTTCTTATCCTTACTAGTAAATACAATAAAGTTGGATCTATTCATATTTAAATATAATTTGTTTATCTGGAACCATTCAGAAAATGTGGCTTCATTAATTAGTGAATCAAAATCCTTATGTGATTAAATGAAATTGGTATCATCAGCAAAGAGAATGGGAAGTACGGTAGAAGACACAGCAGCAAGGTCATTGATATAGATTAGGAATAACAAAGGTCAAATTATCGAACCCTGTGGCACACCACAGGATATCTTGGCCCTAGTAGATGCACAGCCGTTTGAATAAACAAATTGTTCTCTATCATAAACATAACTATATAACCAATTATATGTATAATCATGAAAACCGTAATAATGCAATTTAGAAAGTAATATTTCACGATTAACCGTGTCAAAAGCTTTGGATAAATCTAAAATGATGGCAAGAGCGTATTCATTGTTGTTAAGGGCTGTAAAGATTTTATCCACAAGTTGCAAAAGAGCCATATCTGTGGAGTAGTTTTTACGAAAACCATATTGGTGCTCATATAGAATAGAGTGTTGATTTAAATGTTTAAACTTTCTCTTATACACCATCTTCCCTAGGATTTTAGAAAAACATGGTAGTACAGATATTGGGAGATAATTTGTAAAATATATTGGATCCCCAGATTGATAGAGGGGAATAACTTTGTCAATTTTTAAATATTTAGGAGCAATACCAGTTTGCATAGATTTGTGAAACATAGATGTCTATGATTGGTTCAGATTTGGTCCGGTCATATTCTGAATGTCTATGTTTGAGCCAGATATAGCCCGGCACGTCTGTGGACGTTGAGGTTAAGGCCGGCCCAGGTCAGATCTGAACCAACCATAGACGTCTATGTTAGCCCAAATCAAGGCCTGTACGGATCGGACCAAATCTGAACCAATTATATTTGTCTGTTTGGCCCAAATATAGGCGGGTCTGGACCAGACGTCTGTGGACATTGAAATCAAGGCCGTCTATGATTGGTTCAGATTTTGTCCGGACCGGACCAAAAATCTACGTCCGTGGACGCTGAAATCAATGCCGGTCCAGACCCCATCAAAAAAAGGTCCAAAAGACGTGCTTAGTGGGTTGACTCCATTCTATGCGCACCAAATTACAATTTGTTTTGTCTGCAGTGCCTTTTGAAAGCCTAACACTGTAAGATCATATTTTATTACTTACCTAGCTAGCCATGTTGGCAATATAATAAGCTTTCAAATGATGACCACCTGACCCAGATTGCGATTTATAATGGAACGTTTTTGGATTGCGTAAACAGCAACAGTAATTGTATGATAGTTGAAGGCTCTTTCCTTGAGTCAGAAAAGTGCATTGAAATTACACTGAACAAAAATATAAACTCAACATGTAACGTGTTGGTCCCATGTTTCATGAGCTGAAATAAAAGATCCCCGAAATGTTCCATACGCACAAAAAGCGTATTTCTCTCAAATGTTGTGCAGACATTTGTTTACATCCCTGTGAGTGAGCATTTCTCCTTTGCCAAGATAATCCATCCACCTGACAGGTGTGGCATATCAAGAAGCTGATTAAACAGAATGATCACTACACAGGTGCACCTTGTGCTGGAGACAATAAAAGATCACTCTAAAATGTGCAGTTTTGTCACACAACACAATGCCACAGATGTCTCAAGTTTTGAGGGAGCGTGCAATTGGCATGCTGATGGCAGGAATGTACACCAAAGCTGTTGCCAGAGAACTGAATTTCTCTACCATAAGCCGCCTCCAACGTCATTTTCGAGAATTTGGCAGTACGTCCAACCGGCCTCACAACCACAGACCACGTGTAACCACACCAGCCTAGGACCTACACATCCGGCTTCTTCACCTGCGAGATCTTCTGAGACCAGCCACCCGGACAGCTGATGAAACTGTGGGTTTGCACAACCGAATAATTTCTGCGCAAACTGTCCGAAACCATCTCAGGGAAGCTCATCTGCGTGCGTCCTCACCAGCGTTTGGACCTGAATGCAGTTTGGCGTCGTAACTGACATCAGTGGGCAAATGCTCACCTTCGATGGCCACTGGCACGCTGGAGAAGTGTGCTCTTCATGGATGAATCCCGGTTTCAACTGTACCGGGCAGATGGCAGACAGCGTGTCTAGCGTCGTGTGGGCGAGCGGTTTGCGGATGTCAACGTTGTGAACAGAGTGCCCTATGGTGGCGGTGAGGTTATGGTATGGGCAGGCATAAGCTGATGATCTTGAGGCCATCACCTCATGTTTCAGCATGATAATGCACAGCCCCATGTCGCAAGGATCTGTACACAATTCCTGGAAGCTGAAAATGTCCCAGTTCTTCCATGGCCTGCATACTCACCAGACATGTCACCCGTTGAGCATGTTTGGGATGATCTGGATCGACGTGTACAACAGCGTGTTGCAGTTCCCGCCAATATCCAGCAACTTCGCAAAGAGGAGTGGGACAACATTCCACAGGCCACAATCAACAGCCTGATCAACTCTATGTGAAGGAGATGTGTTGCACTGAATGAGGCAAATGGTGGTCACACCAGATACTGACTGGTTTTCTGATCCACGCTCCTACCTTTCTTTCAAGGTATCTGTAACCAACAGATGCATATCTGTATTCCCAGTCGTGAAATCTATAGATTAGGGACTAATGAATTCATTTCAATTGACTGATTCCCTTATATGAACTGTAACTCAGTAAAATCTCTCTCAAACCCTTATAATCATTTTTTCTTATCATCCAACATGTCAATGAATATTCTTATTATGTTACTGAATGTATCCAGAGTATTTTCAGATGCCGTTATTGACAAATGCTGTCAAAAGTACAGTAAATGTAAAATGCACATAGTTCTTCTGTTAGAAACATTTAAATGTATCCCTATCCATATAGGCCAATTTCCATGAGTGTAAGGGGTTAATAACTGGCTTAATATTAGGACATTATCACAATTTATACAGATTAAATATTGCAGTTATTGTTGTGAAAAATTGGAGGGAAAGTGGAGGTAAATAGCATGTGATTGAAAGAATAACTGAATAAAACAGGTAGAAGTGACAGAATATGATAGTTAGTATTTCTTCTGTATTTTCTCTGAGGTTCATTGCGTCCGTGCGTCCCATTGCGCCGGGGGTCTCTCTTCATGTCTGTCCGTCTGCACGTGAATGTGTGACTGACAGAATTAGGTCAGGGACAATAGACTGCTGCTCTCATTATATGGAGGGACATTAAAATTAAGAAATGAATAAACATGGAGGGACATTAAAATTAAGAAATGAATAAACATAAAGAATAATGGAACCAGGTAGGGGCTAGTGTTTTTGCACAATATCGCAAATCCACTTTCACACCTAATCTTGCGCACCCACACACACATTCGCCAACCCACACTTCCTTCCGGCACGTACACACGGCGCACTCAGCACATCTATGCTATAATTCCCTTTCTGTGAATGAAAAAAACAAAAAGGTGTAAACAGGGGGTTTGTTGTTAGGTGAAACGTAATCAAAAGTAATTTCCGCCTCATTCAGGGCTTTTCTATAAATATCTCCCCTGGTTTGGGACTGAATATTAAAAGGTTAGGACATGACGGTGTAACATAGAGAGCAGACAGAGACTGGATTAGCTGTGAGTGATCGTGAATATTTATATGATTATTGGATGTGCTTGGGGGACTTCATGAAGGATATTTCCTATATTTAACCTTTGGCTTCCAAATACTGTGGCTGAATAGCAGAATTTGACATTATTGGAAACATTGAGGGAGGCAAGTGAAGTTAGATTATTGTTCAGTTGTTTTTGTCTGAGTTTAGTACATTTAGTACATTTTGTTTGGATTTCGATTTGATTTTAGTTGATTTTCATGTTCTTGCATTTGTTTAGAATTAAGACAATTGGCCAATTTAAATATTTTTTTCATAGTTTTCGAGTGGTTAAAATCACATGACAAGCTGTGAATGACTTTCTATTGGATTTACTCTATATTCTAATGTGATGTTTGCCAGTCTTCTTCATCTACTCCTGTCAATTCTTGTACTGTACTCCTGCACTCATCTTACTTCCTGTAGCGTTGTTGTTAGTGCCCTCTAGTGTGAGGACCAGGTTTAGAGATGCAATTTGTCTCTTGACATCTCAATTTGGGTGTCCACTCTTCGGCTCTATCTCAACTCATCTTTCCGTGTTTCCTTGCACCTTCTCTCTGCGCCTCCTTCTCAACCCTATTGGAGGAGAAGGTCCAAGGGCTCTCCCTTCTGACCTTCTTCTTCAAAGGGTTTTGAGAAGGAGGTGAGGATATAGTATGGGAGGAAGTGCATAAAGATGAATTGAGATAGAGCCTTTTTAGATCAGTGATTTCTTCAAGGAAGGGAGGAAGGAAGGATACATTTTCGAGCATTGGAACAGAGCCTTCATGTTGTCCCCACCCCACTGTGTCCAGGGTCAGATCTGCAGGGCGGAGCTGGAGAAATGGTCCAGTCAGATGTACCAGGAGCCTGAGGTCATGCCAGAGGAGGTCCACATGTTTGACCTGGACTGCTTTTTGTCCGACATCTCTGACACCCTGTTCACCATGACCCAGAAGCCCTGCCCGTGGGCCAACGACCGGCACAACAGTGAGTACCACACCACAACGGCCATTCTACTTACCTGTAAACTACTTATCTACCTACGTCTATTATACTTAGAGGAACCCTTTTAGTGTCTACAGAAGCCCTACAGAAGCCCTGTCTATGATACTTGTAACACTATGATACAAATCCCTACAAAATTCAACATTTTGTCTTCTTCTTTTTATTTGATCGACAAAAATAACAGAATACTCCGCTTACTATTTATCCGACCTATGGTCATGTGAGACAATAATGCAGGAAAGAAAACCGCCCAACAAATGAGGAACTTGCAAATAAATAAATGAGGCTAAAGATGCAAACAGAGGCCCACACCCACTCTCTCCCTGTCTCTGGTATGTTTCTCTGTATGTGACAGTAGTGTTCTACTTCATCCCCCCTCAGCGTACACCAGCAATGCTGACATGATCCAGCCAGGTCTCACCCCACTGCAGCCCAATCTAGACGACTTCATGGATATCCCAGGTATTGTGAGTGTGTGTGTGTGCTGGATTTCTCTAGCGGTTTACACACTGTCAGGTCTACCCAATCCGTTCCTGGCTGGCTCAGACGTTTCTTTCATGACCAAGTCGCTCTGGATAAGAGCGTCTGCTAAATGACTCAAATGTAAATGGAATGACTTCTTCGATCTCTTAAAGCGAGCTGCAGCTGGCCCGGCAAGATATCTAGTGCCAGTGCTGCTTGTAAGCGTGCTCTGTCTTTAGTTTGATATGCCTACACACCATTGGTGATTGCCATACCTTGTACATATAATCAAATTATTTTGCTGTCCTTCTTAACAAATAGTAGACTTGACAGTCCTTCTAAGCACAAAATGTGCTTGAGACAGGGGACAGAAACACTTCCCACTGGGCACACCATGTCTTTTCAACATGGACATTTGGGTAATATTTGGTTGAGATGTTGATCAATGAGATTTCAACCTTTATTCACAGACTCAAAAAGACAGCCAGAAGTTTGTTGAATTCCCAATGTGTTATCACTATTTTTTCAACCTTCTGAAAGCACAACAAAATTGAAATGGAAAAACAATGTCAGATTCTTTGTATTTATTCAACAATGTAATGTGTTATCACTGTGCTTCATCTAATAGCACAACCAAAAGACCTGGATTGCAGTTGAGATTACATTAAAAGTACATAGTGCAAGTGATCAATGCTGTTCAAGGGTCTGCACAGATTATTATAGCAATTGTGACGACCACAGACCTGCGACCTTTGCATGCTATCTTGAACATGCACGCTTATGATTACATAAGAAGACATTTATAGTTATACTAACCTCAAAATGTAGCCATGGATGTTACTCATTTTAACATTGAATAAATACAGGTACATTAGTTTGTAAGATAGCCTTAACTTTAGGGTATTTTACTGTATTGCAAAAGTAATATTGAATTGTGTTTGGTTGTCAATACAACCAAATATCAACATTTGAAGGAGATGTATATTTTATGCCAGTGACCAAACATCTAAGTCAAACAATAGGACTAAATCAAATCATTCAAAGATGGAGACATGAATCCAACATATAAATGATTCATTTGTAGACAAACTGGAATTTAAGGCAGACTAAGTTAGTGGCACAGATGGAACTATCCAAGCAGAAGATACATCTCCTTCAAATGTTGATACAGTTGAAGTCGGAAGTTTACATACACTTAGGTTGGAGTCATTAAAACTTGTTTTTCAACCACTCCACACATTTCTTGTTAACAAACTATCATTTTGGCAAGTCGGTTAGGACATCTACTTTGTGTATGACACAAGTAATTTTTCCAACAATTGTTTACAGACAGATTATTTCACTTATAATTCACTTATCACAATTCCAGTGGGTCAGAAGTTTACATACACTATGTTGACTGTGACTTTGAACAGCTTGGAAAATTCCAGAAAATGATGTCATGGCTTTAGAAGCTTCTGATAGGCTAATTGACATTGATTTGAGTCAATCGGAGGTGTACCTGTGGATGTATTTCAAGGCCTACCGTCAAACGCAGTGCCTCTTTGCTTGACATCATTGGAAAATCAAAAGAAATCAGCCAAGACCTCAGAAAAAAATGTGTAGACCTCCACAAGTCTGGTTCATCCTTGGGAGCAATTTCCAAATGCCTGAAGGTACCACGTTCATCTGTACAAATCAAATCAAATCAAATCAAATCACATTTTATTGGCCACATGCGCCGAATACAACAGGTGCAGACATTACAGTGAAATGCTTACTTACAGCCCTTAACCAACAGTGCATTTATTTTAAATAAAAAAGTAGAATAAAACAACAAAAAAGTGTTGAGAAAAAAAGAGCAGAAGTAAAATAAAATAACAGTAGGGAGGCTATATATACAGTAGGGTACCGGTGCAGAGTCAATGTGCGGGGGCACCGGCTAGTTGAGGTAGTTGAAGTAATATGTACATGTGGGTAGAGTTAAAGTGACTATGCATAAATAAATAACAGAGTAGCAGCAGCGTAAAAAGATGGGGTGGGGGGGCAGTGCAAATAGTCCGGGTAGCCATGATTAGCTTTTCAGGAGTCTTATGGCTTGGGGGTAGAAGCTGTTGAGAAGTCTTTTGGACCTAGACTTGGCACCACGGTACCGCTTGCCGTGCGGTAGCAGAGAGAACAGTCTATGACTAGGGTGGCTGGAGTCTTTGACAATTTTTGCCTGATCTTTTCAGTCTCCTGAGGGGGAATAGGCTTTGTTGTGCAATTTTTTCTTGAGCGAATGGTCAGGGGGCTGCATCATAGTTACAAATAGTTTGTAGACTGCAAATTGACCGCAAGAAGCCCAAACATTGTTTCAAAGGTACAAATTCAACATATTTTATGCATGGTTTGTCTAGGTTGAAAATTGGTTACTGTGATGACATAATCCTGTGATTGAAATTTCAACTTCAAAACAACAGTTTACGTTGACTACTTTTTTCAAATCAATGTATTTACCACGTACGTTGGCAAATTACGTTGAAACAATGTTGATTTAACCAGTTTGTGCCCAGTGGGTAACTATATGTGTAGGGCAATCTGATGGACAGATGTGGTGACCAGAAGTCTAAGGAACAGAAACGATTGAAGCGCCTAATAAAAAGTTAGAAATGCTACTTTATCAGTGTCTTTACGTATATATAGATTGGACTTATGTACTCTGTCGAAGAGAGTTAGAGCTACAAGAAGAGTTTTTCACATACAGTAGATGTCACATACTGAATCACTGCATATAGCCAAAATGACTCTGCCAGTTAAGCAGATAGCCAGGTATGCATCTTCAATCTGCGGTTTGTCATCGATTTATATTTAGGGTTTCTCTTCTAAATATGCAGCTGGGGCCACCCATATGAAAATGAATATTTTGGCATGTATTATTAAATTATTGAGTTAGGGATTCCTCTGTGAGTGACACCCCTGGGCTGGGCTCTCTGTTCTGTGTCCCCTGTGTGTATGCCATGTCAGGGGTGAGCAGGAGGTCAGAGGCTGGGTTGTGACACAGTAGAATAAGGAAGTGGAAGCGCATGTGGTTAACCGCAACACGTGGCAAAGGGGCCCAGTGAATGAAGGGATGGAGATGGAGGGATAAAAGGATGGAGGGATATACAATAGAGGGATGAAGAGATGGAGATGGGGAGATAAAAGGATGGAGGGATAGTACACTAGAGGGAGTGAAAGGGGGGATGGAGAGATAAAAGGCAAGGGGATAGACAATAGCGGGAATTACGACAACTGGAAGATAAAAGGAAGGAGGGATAGACAAGAGGATGAAGAGATGGAGAGATAAAGGATGGAGGGATAGAACAATGAGGGATGAGAGATGGAGAGATACAAGGAATGAGGGATAGACAAGAGGGGATAAGAGATGGAGAGATAAAAGGATGGATGTAATAGAACAATATAGGGATGAAGATGATGGAGAGATAAAAGGAAGGAGGTAGACACTAAGAGGGAATGAAGAGATGGAGATATAAAAGGAGGAGGATATACAAAATAAGGTGAAGAGATGGAGAGATAAAGGATGGAGGGAATAGACAATAAGGGATGAGAGATGGAAGATAAACGGAAGGAGGAAATAGACAATAGCGGGATGAAAGAGATGGAGAGATAAAAGGATGGAGGGATAGACAATAGAGGGATGAAGAGATGGAGAGATAAAAGGATGGAGGGATAGACAATAGAGGGATGAAGAGATGGAGAGATAAAAGGATGGAGGGATAGACAATAGAGGGATTGAAGAGATGGAGAAGATAAAAGGAGGAGGGATAGACAATAGAGGGATGAAGAGATGGAGAGATAAAGAAGGATGACTGAGGATGAAGAGAGGAGGATAGACAATGAGGTGTAGGATGAAGAGATGGAGGGATAAAAGGATGGAGGGATAGACAATAGAGGGATGAAGAGATGGAGATGGGGAGATTAAAGGATGGAGGGATAGACAATAGAGGGATGAAGAGATGGAGAGATAAAAGGAAGGAGGGATAGACAATAGAGGGATGAAGAGATGGAGAGATAAAAGGAAGGAGGGATAGACAATAGAGGGATGAAGAGATGGAGAGATAAAAGGAAGGAGGGATAGACAATAGAGGGATGAAGAGATGGAGAGATAAAAGGATGGAGGGATAGACAATAGAGGGATGAAGAGATGGAGAGATAAAAGGAAGGAGGGATAGACAATAGAGGGATGAAGAGATGGAGATGGGGAGATGCTGGAAGGTAGTATGATTTATTTTCTTCTCCGGTGGTTTGAGTAGAGGATAACATTGTTTATTACAGGGACTCTTTATTGCGTTGTTGCAACTCTCAGCTTGATCACTTCCTAGCCTAGTAATATGCCCTAGACTGCCATATTGATTTGATAATTATATATTGGTCAGTGCTGCATTTCTTCCCTCTACATATCAGTACTGTAGCCCCCTGTACAGTGGGTTGTCAATGGTATTGGCATGAGCATGTTCCTCACAGTCTGTTCTTATGGCCCTGCCAGTACCAGGGACCTTTGGCAGCAGGGTCCTTTGGGATTAGCTGTCTGCCTCCGTCACCAGGGTCAGCTGGGTGGCAGGGTGCTTGTCAGGGCCAATGTGTTTAACTAACGGACACACAAATAGAGACTCCCCTCCCGTCCCTCCATGTGACTGTGTCACAACATACACCATGCCATGATGTGACAGAGACGGGAGGAAACAAAGCTACGCCACTGGTCACTGATCTCAGGTTGTATGTCATACCTGGTTGGTGTGAGTGGGTATGATCCTCAGTTATTAGAGTAGGGATGCCCACTGATACAGTGTCTTCTTGAACCTTCTTGAAGGTTCACATTGCTAAGGAATTAAGGTGCGTATTGGTAAGGAATTAAGGTTTGTATTGCTAATGAATTAAGGTTCGTATTGCTAAGGAATTAAGGTTCGTATTGCTAAGGAATTAAGGTTCGTATTGCTAAGGAATTAAGGTTCGTATTGCTAAGGAATTAAGGTTCGTATTGCTAAGGAATTAAGGTTTGTGTTGCTAAGGAATTAAGGTTCGTATTGCTAAGGAATTAAGGTTCGTATTGCTAAGGAATTAAGGTTCGTATTGGTAAAGAATTAAGGTTCGTATTGCTAAGGAATGAAGGTTCGTATTGCTAAGGAATGAAGGTTCGTATCGCTAAGGAATTAAGGTTCGTATGGCTAAGGAATTAAGGTTCGTATTGGTAAGGAATTAAGGTTCGTATTGCTAAGGAATTAAGGTTTGTGTTGCTAAGGAATTAAGGTTCGTATTGCTAAGGAATTAAGGTTCGTATTGCTAAGGAATTAAGGTTCGTATTGGTAAAGAATTAAGGTTCGTATTGCTAAGGAATGAAGGTTCGTATTGCTAAGGAATGAAGGTTCGTATCGCTAAGGAATTAAGGTTCGTATGGCTAAGGAATTAAGGTTCGTATTGGTAAGGAATTAAGGTTCGTATTGGTAAGGAATTAAGGTTAGTCTGGTAAGGAATTAAGGTTTGTATTGCTAAGGAATTAAGGTTTGTATTGCTAAGGAATTAAGGTTCGTATTGCTAAGGAATTAAGGTTCGTATTGCTAAGGAATTAAGGTTTGTATTGGTAAGGAATTAAGGTTTGTATTGCTAAGGAATTAAGGTTCGTATTGCTAAGGAATTAAGGTTCGTATTGCTAAGGAATTAAGGTTTGTATTGCTAAGGAATTAAGGTTTGTATTGGTAAGTATTCTTGTAAATTATCTCTGAAAATGTACTACATGTAATTGCTTGAATTATGCTAGATTTTGTGGGCTTTTTTCATATCTTAACAGGTATTCCCTTGAAATATTGCATTCAGTGGGGAAGGACATTATTTGGTTCAATATGTTTTAAACTTAAAAAACGATTTCCTGATTTCCCTGAAATAATTTCCTGGTACCTGCTGTGCAAAAGAGTCACAGAATGTTGTAATCATAGAGGTGGGAATTGAATAGGGTTAAAATGATAGAAACAACTAAATAAGGGATTGACAACAATGGGCTTGGGCCAGTATCACGGTGCAGTGATGTACTCACGTGTTTATTTTCTTTGGCTGCTGTACTTTACAGTATTTGTCCTGAAAGGGTATACCGTATTCTGCTTGAAAAGCATTTAATGCGAGGTGGACAAAATATCTGTCCATTTGGTACAGTATTACAGTTCCTTGCGAAGTTGGCAGTGGGCACGTTGTTTTATGATGCGTCATGTGACCGCTGGCAAGGGCAGACATACTCTGGAAGCCCACCCAGTCAGATTCTATGAGGTCATCATCACGCCACAAGCAGATCAGACCATAGAATGATGTAATGGATCAGACGCCTTTCCTGAGTAAGCAACAGACAGGCAAACATAATACTGACTGATGTACACAGAATAGTCTAGAATAGACTTGATTAAAATATAAAATGTCTTTATTTATTTACATTTTACATTTTAGTCATTTAGCAGATGCTCTTATCCAGAGCGACTTACAGTAGTGAGTGCATACAGTTTCATACTTTTTCGTACTTTTTTATCCATTTGCACAGAAATTAGGCCCCTACATGTGCATTATTCAGTACAGACATTGTGCTTGCCATGACTGCAGATGTGTCAGTGACATAGTGCAACTAATGGCAGTAGCAACAGTCATCGAAATTGTTAAAAGGTTTTAAAAACAACTCTAATAAATGCAACAGTTGGACAATGGATGAAGATAACTTTTTAAATTTTTTATAATCCATCAGATATTGACATAACTATAGCACATAAACAAATGTACTGGAACGGACAAATAATTAATGGAGTTCAGGGATGTTTGTGGGAATTCAGGTATTCATTTTATTGTCATATTTCACCTTTTTTATTAGAATGCACTCATATATACATTTTCTTATTGTATCAGGTATGTTTTGTATATTTTGTGTTAAAATAAATTAAATTACATGTGCCTGATTTGCATAAATATGGTAGCTGTATTTGCATATATAAATACATTAACATAAAGGGGTGGGACATGGCTGCAACCACCAAACACTTGCTCTGTCTACCCTACCTGCACTGTCTAGACTGCCTCATTAATTACTGTTGTCATGTTCTTTTGCATAATTCAAGAAGTGTGTCAATAGCAGGATACCCTCAGATAAAAAATCAACACGCTTGGCTCTAGATTCCACCTATCTAAACATACTTTACATTGTTTGCGAGATCAGACAAAATATCACTATAATCCGAGTGTTCATTTTCGGAAGTTGCTTTCAATTTTGCGCATCTAATTTGTAAACATTTAAACTGTATTAAATTATTACTTTTTTCAATTCCACAAAAAAATTAACACCCATCAAAATAAAGTTATCTTTCTTCTCTTTCTTGTGATGTAAGTGTCGAGACGGTGTGTTTCATCGCTGACAAAGCTTTAGCGTTCCTATAGATTCAACAGTAAAACAATGTATTCCATTGAGCCCATTTCAGCCATTACCAGGGTGTGTTTGACAGGTCATTACAAACATTTCGTAACGTTAACGGGAAAAAACGTCATGCATAAACAAGAGTATCAAAGAGTTACAGAAGTACAATGAAAGCAATCAATCCAGCGAGATTTAAGTGACAAGTGGATTTTGCACCCCTCAAACACAGGAGATAGATGGCTGAAAAAGACAGATCCTCAAGTGGGTGGGGCATATATTTACATTTTACGTCATTTAGCAGACGCTCTTATCCAGAGCGACTTACAGGAGCAATTAGAGTTAAGTGCCTTGCTTAAGGGCACATCGACAGATTTTTCACCTAGTCGGCTCGGGGATTAGAACACCTTTTTTCTAAGAGTGTAGGGTTGACGATTGTCTTTTTTTCCTGTCCTGTGTTAGATATCTTTATGAGCTACCGAGGCCAGTCGTTGGAGCAGGCTGCTTATGCTGACTGTGGCTACTTTGAGAGTTCCTCCAGCGGGACTTTCCCCTCTGTGTTCAGCCCTGTGGTCACCGTTCCACAGCCACACGTCGACACTCAAATAGCTCAGGTACAGTAGCACTTCGCTTGTCACTTTGGAAACTGTTGTTCTTCCACTGTTAGGGGACCGAAAAGTGATGAAAATGTAAACCATTCACATCAAATTTGGCACATATTGCCTGGACTATGTCTTGTTTGTTTTGTGTTCCTGTGTTTTCATCACATAGTTTGTGGAGGCTTTTTACTGTTAAAGTGATTGGTTATAATATAAATTGTAGCCAAAATTGTTTTAGTCATGATTAATTAAACTTACAATGAATCTCTCTTCCAGTCCAACCTCTCATCTGACAGCCTGTCTCAGCCCTCCTCATCCAACTCTCTGTCAGACCCTGGCTACCACAGACAACCCCTGACCTCTGACATGACCTTCAACCCCACTAACAACCCCAAGTTCAAAGGTCACCAACAACAGGATTACCACAGCGTGTACCATACACCCAGCATGGTATCAGGGGCCAAGCCCTCCTATGGACACCAGACTTACCCCGGCACCACCGTCCCCATCGCAACCACCAACATACAACAGCAGCCCGTCTCCCCGGGAGACGGAACCTTTTTGTATCCGCCTCCCTGTCACAAATACGGTTACCACACCACCACTGCCAGCTCAGTGACCTCTACCGTCATCACCCACACAGGATCCACTATGGGTGGCAGTATCCTGGGATCGGACCCCCAGGGTCATCACGGGTACTCCACCACGGGAGACATGTACTCCCCAACATCCTGCCTCTCTCAGGGGTACTCGTCCGTGGTCTCGGCCCCGGCCCTACCCTCTCTCGGTGTACCTCCCCACTGCTTCTCAGCCCCACAGCAGCCGGGTGTGGAAGGTGGTAAAAGGGGGAAGCACAAGCAGAAGACAGCGGGGGGGGTGCAGATGGGGTCCTGTCTGTCCACCCCTCAGTCGGCTCCCCCCCAGACCAGCTTCCTGGCGAAACTACTGTCCTCCAGCACACAAGAACGTGAGTACATTCTTTCTCTTGTTTTTTCCTTCATCATACTTTCATACTGCAGTGATAAACTGATGCACATGCCGTTCCAACACTCTTGGTCTTGTATTCACCATTATCCACTATCACTGTCTTACATAACCATTAACCACTTTAAACCATTGTACGTTTGTTTTACCTCCGCACAGTTCACTTTTGACCATCTTGTTTTTAGGCAAACCAACGCTGGGATTCGATGCAACTTTAGTAGGAACCAAAGGGCACAGGTCAAGCTCTCCCAACTCTCCAGTAAGGCCAATATAGTTTCTTTAGTTAACACAGGTGTGAGTTTCAAAGACATAATTCAAACCTTTACTGCAGGTTACAGTTCTACTTTTAATCAGATAATGTATTTGGTTCAGCATTCTAGTAGCAGCATGCGTATCGGAGGAGGGTCTGGATCTCAGCTTCAGCCTGGGTCTCCCTGGTCCTCAGGGATCCCACTTCTGGCACCAATTCACTGCCAGACGTCCACCCAGGGCAACGCCGGGCTATACGCTAGTACCTCCCACGGATCTGCCGTCTCTGCTCTCCTCACCCAGGGCTCAACACACCCCAACACACCCCTCCTCATCCCCAAGACAGAAAAACTCTCCCCTGTACAGATCTACGGTTCTGAGAGAACTAGCTTAACAGGTAATTAAGGATGAACATAATTTCATGTAAAAATGTTAACATGTCATGTGTGGTTGTAAAGCAAAGTAAGCCATTCCTCTTTGTTTGTTTGTTTGTTTGTTTGTTTGTTTATAGTGAGCTTCTCGGGACACTCAGGCCAGATGTCCCCAACCAACCTTCTAGAGAGGGCATCCAACACTGAGTCTCCACACTCCTTACCTGGACATTCCAAAATGGAGTCAAACAAGGTAAGCAAAAAACAACTTGACCATTCATTACTCAAAGCTACTGTCTGATAGAAAGACAATGATGAATAAACAAAAGACTGAAAGGGAAAGGTAAGTTCTTATTATGTCTTTCCTAAATTGAACTCAAGGTCTGGTTATCAGACGCCTTATGTGTTCTTTTCCAAATCAAATCACATTATATTTGTCACATGCGCCGAATACAACAGGTACACCTTACAGTGAAATGCTTACTTACAAGCCCTTAACCAACAATGCAGTTCAAGAAATAGAGTTAAGAAAATATTTACTAAATAAACTAAAGTAAAAAATAAAAAGTAACACAATAAAATAACAATAACGAGGTTATATACAGGAGGTACCGGTACCGAGTCAATGTGTGGGGGTACAGGTTAGTTGATGTAATTTGTACATGTAGGTAGGGGTAAAGTGACTATGCATAGATAATAAACAGCTAGTAGCAGCAGTGTAAAAACAAAGGGGGGGAGGGGGGGGTGTCAATGTAAATAGTCTGGGTGGCCATTTAATTAATTGTTCAGCAGTTTTATGGCTTGGGGGTAGAAGCTGTTAAGGAGCCTTTTGGACCTACTTGGCACTCCGGTACCGCTTGCCGTGCGGTAGCAGAGAGAACAGTCTATGACTTGGGTGACTGGAGTCTTTCACAATTTGTTGGCCCTTCCTCTTAGTATATAGGTCCTGGATGGCAGGAAGCTTGTCCCCAGTGATGTACTGGGCCTTACGCACTACCCTCTGTAGCGCCTTACGGTCGGATGCCGAGCAGTTGCCATACCAGGCGGTGAGGTAACCGGTCAGGATGCTCTTGATGGTGCAGCTGTAGAACTTTTTGAGGATCTGGGGACCCATGCCAAATCTTTTCAGTCTCCTGAGGGGGAAAAGGTGTTGTCGTGCCCTCTTCACTACTGTCTTGGTGTGTTTGTACCATGATAAGTGTTCATTTTGTCCAGGTGGGAAAGGGCAGTGTGGAGTGCGATTGAGATTGCGTCATCTGTGGATCTGTTGGGGCGATATGCGAATTGGAGTGGATCTAGGGTTTCCGGGATGATGATGTTGATGTGAGCCATGACCAGCCTTTCAAAGCACTTCATGGGTACCGACGTGAGTGCCACGGGGCGGTAGTTATTTAGGCAGGTTACCTTTGCTTTCTTGGGCACAGGGACTATAGTAGTCTGCTTGAAACATGTAGGTATTACAGACTCGGTCAGGGAGAGGTTGAAAATGTCAGTGAAGACATGCTCTGAGTACACAACCTGGTAATCCGTCTGGCCCTGCGGCCTTGTGAATGTTGACCTGTTGAAAGGTCTTGCTCACATCGGTTACGGAGAGCGCGATCACACAGCCGTCCGGAACAGCTGGTGCTCTCATGCATGCTTCAGTGTTGCTTGCCCCGAAGCGAGCATAAAAGGCATTTAGCTCGTCTGGTAGGCTTGCGTCACTGGGCAGCTCGCGGCTGGGTTTCGATTTGTGGTCCGTAATAGTTTGCAAGCCCTGCCACATCCGACGAGCGTCAGAGCCGGTGTAGCAGGATTCAGTCTTAGTCCTTTATTGACGCTTTGCCTATTTGATGGTTCATCTGAGGGCATAGCGGGATTTCTTATAAGCGTCCGGATTAGTGTCCCACTCCTTGAAAGCGGCAGCTCTAGCCTTTAGCTCGGTGCGGATGTTGCCTGTAATCCATGGCTTCTGGTTGGGATATGTACGTACGGTCACTGTGGGGATGACGTCGTCGATGCACTTATTGATGAAGCCGGTGATTGAGGTGGTATACTCCTCAATGTCATTGGATGAATCCCGGAACATATTCCAGTCTGTGCTAGCAAAACAGTCCTGTAGCATAGCATCCGCGTCATCTGACCACTTCCGTATTGAGCGAGTCACTGGTACTTCCTGCTTTAGTTTTTGCTTGTACGCAGGAATCAGGAGGATATAATTATGGTCAGATTTGCCAAATGGAGGGCGAGGGAGAGCTTTGTATGTGTCTCTGTGTGCGGAGTAAAGGTGGTCTAGAGTTTATTTTCCCCTGGTTGCACATGTGACATGCTGGTAGAAATTGGGTAAAACTGATTTAAGTTTGCCTGCATTAAAGTCCCAGGCCACTAGGAGCGCCGCTTCTGGGAGAGCATTTTCTTGTTTGCTCATGGCCTTATACAGCTCGTTGAGTGCGGTCTTAGTGCCAGCGTCGGTTTGTGGTGGTAAATAGACAGCTACGAAAAATACAGATGAAAACTCTCTTGGTAGATAGTCTGGTCTACAGTTTATCATGAGGTACTCAGGAGAGCAATACCTCAAGACTTCCTTATTATTAGACATCACGCACCAGCTGTTATTGACGAATAGACACACACCCCCACCCCTCGTCTTACTGTTCTGTCCTGCCAATGCACGGAAAACCCAGCCAACTGTATATTATCCGTGTCGTCGTTCAGCCACGACTCGGTGAAACATAAGATATTACAGTTTTTAATATCCCGTTGGTAGGATAGTCATCCAGTTTATTTTCCAGTGATTGCACGTTGGCCAATAGAACGGATGGTAGAGGTGTGTTACCCACTTGCAGACGAATTCTCACAAGGCATCCCGATCTCCGCCCCCTGTATTTCCGTCTTTTCTTCATGCGAATGATAGGGATTTGGGCCTGGTCTCAGAGAAGCAGTATATCCTTCGCGTCAGACTCATGAAATAAAAAATCTTCGTCCAGTTCGAGGTGAGTAATCGCTGTTCTGATATCCAGAAGCTCTTTTCTGTCATAAGAGACGGTAACAGCAACATTGTGTACAACATAAGTTACAAACAATGCGAAAAAACACACAAAATAGCACAGTTGGTTAGGAGCCTGTAAAACGGCACCATTCTTCATTGCGCTCCACCAGTGTTAGAGAGATGAATAGTGTCTGTGTTGACAAGACCGTCAATCGATAGATGTTGACAATCTCAATGTATAAGCATACAGTTCCTGATCTATGAGGTGTGTGTGTTGCAGACAGAGACCAGGAGGATAACTCACATCTCTGCTGAGCAGAAGAGACGTTTCAACATCAAACTAGGCTTTGATACTCTGCACAGTCTCGTCACCACACTAAGCTCTCAGCCAAGTATAAAGGTAAGTACTGCAGTAGGATATCCAAGCTATAAAAGAATAAAGGTAGGTTACAGTGGAAGTCTGCACTGTGGCAATTCCACTGGAACAGAATGACGCTGAGACTTTTTCACTTTAAAAAGTATGCCAAACAAAAACCGTTGATAGCAAAGTTAAACAAACCATACACCTCTATGCACCAGGACTACTTGTAACAATTTCCACAGAACATTTTACAAAAACGAATTAACTTGAAGAACAGAATGACGGTAAAATCTCCCTCAATATTTTTTATGTGACCACGTTTTTCAAAAACTCAGTTAAATATCTACTCTGAATAAAGATTCAAAGATGTCTGCAGAAGGAATGGGGTGTCAGCTATGATATGACAACTTGAGTTTAAAAAAATTCAGTACAGTACAGTAAAGTACAGGAAAATACAGTAGATTATACTGTACTCTACTCTAGTGTGCTGTACTGTACTAAACTCTACTGTACAGTACAGTACAGTACTATATTGTACTGACCTATACTCTACTTTTCTTTACTGTACTGTACAGTGCTGTGCTGTCCAAACTTGTGAAACAGACGTCTATGATTGGTTCAGATTTGGACTGACCAAATTTCAACTACTTTTCAACGTCCATGGACGTCCGGTGTCGGTCGATGCACAGGCTGGTTACAGTAAATGGAAAGAGAGTGGGCTCATGGGTAGTTGTCAGTAAGAGCCGGGAGAGGTGACATTAACTGGAGAGAGAGAGAGAGAAGAGAGACTGGGAGAAAGAGGGAGGGGTTGTCTAGACTGTTTTCACACTCTTGCTTTAACTACCATGTTACAGAAAGAGAAAGAAAACAGTTATGAGCTGAACATAACAGTATGCCAGTGGAAGGGAGGACAGTAGCAGGTGGCCCAACTGTGGTTTGTAACTACTATGAATTCCCATTGTAGGCAATTCAGTTGCAGTCATTCTGTTACTGATTTTTGGTCATTCTGTTACTGATCTGGTAACAGAATGATGCATTTTAATCACTTAATAAATCACAAACCAAATTGTTATCAGTATAAACACTATTGCTAATTGTTAGGTCTACCTTTACTTGTTAATTCTGTGAACTTTCATTATCCTCCCCTCATGAGGGAGAGAAATTAGAAAATATCTTAAAGATATGTGGTTTTTTGGTCACAGAAGACAAATAATTTCTGCAAAACTAACTATAAATGTTGATATTAGTTGGCAGGGCTCTTTACTTCAGCATTATTGTGTTTTTATGTATTTCTAATACTTTTTAAGACTTTTGCTGCTAGATGTTTTCTAAGACCCCTTTTCCAACTGTTTGACCAGAAATCAAGGCCTTAGCTTTTTTCTATGTTTTTGGAAAATGGTTGATTGTTTTTATATGCCTTAATTTCTCAAATATATAGACTCTTATCATTCATTTGACACCAACTTCTATGTGCTACTATGAACTTCATATTAGTGCTCATGCGGGTTTTTACATGGAAATGCCTACTACACAACACAAGTCATAGGGGTGTAGAGGATAGGAAGCTGCAATGAGCGGGATTTAGGAACTGTTATCAACCCCAATCACCTCAGTTACAGTAACACACAATGGTTTTAGCAATCATATCCTACCACTATTCCAAACACACAGCATGAGAATCAGTGTGGTGTTGCCCAGCAGTAACCCCTTTGTCCCATAGAAATAGAATAAATAAATGGAACATTATGTATCTACATTATTGTCTCTGTGCTCTGTCCCGTGTCCCAGATCAGCAAGGCCACAACGCTACATAAGACAGCCGAGTACATCAGCAAGATGCAGCAGGAGAGAACTCAGCTACATGAGGAGGCTCAGAGACTCAGGGACGAAATTCTGCTCCTCAACTCTGCCATCAAGTAAGACCACCGTCTTGAAACACATTAAACATAATCTGAGTGTGTGTGTTTGTCAAGTACGCATGTGTCTATGTGATCATACCACTTCTCTTTCCGATTCAGTGTGTGCCAGCAGCAGCTGCCTGCCACTGGTGTGCCCATCACCCGCCAACGCTTCGACCACATGAGGGAGAAGTTCAGAGAGTACGTCCGGGCACAGACACTACAGAACTGGAAGTTCTGGATCGTATCCTTAAACTCAGTGATAGGACAGTTAAGAGAAGCGTAGATTCAGTGGGTTCAAATAGTATTTGTTTTTCTTTCAAATAATGTACTTTTTCTGGAGCTCCAGATGGTATTTTATTGTATCTTATAGATACTGCATTGTTTACATTGCACCAGACAAGATCAGTCAATCGCAGCTACTGTATTTGGAAAAAGATAAACTAATGGTCTGGTTTGACTAGTAGCGCACATATGAACAGCCAATCAGAAGTATGTATATGTATATTTTGAATCATATATTGTAAATTCTATCATTTGTATGTATGTCTCATAATAATACATGAGTCAGAATGGTGCTTTCCTAAACACGGGCTCAGTTCAGCATCATCATAGAGCCCTTGTTTGAGTCATATAACGGGATGGTGTCCACCGCCAGTGTAGAGGATCTGTGTCGCACCACTCTGTCCTGGCTGGACCAGCACTGCTCTCTGCCTGCCCTCAGACCCAGTGAGTTCAACATCACTAGCTTCAATGACTATCAGTTCGTCATCTAGTCTGTCTGTCTGTCTGTTAGTCATCTCGTTTTTGGTCTATCTGTCTGTGTGTTTATCTGTCTGTCTGTCAGTTAGTCACCAAGTGTTACTCTGTGTGTCTGTCTAATCTTTCTTCATCTCCCTGTTACCTGATCCTCTCCTCAGCGGTCCTTAGTTCACTCCGTCTCCTGAGCACCTCCACGTCCATCCTGACAGACCCCAGCCTGGTGCCAGAGCAGGCCACCCAGGCGGTCACCCAGGCTCAGGGCCTCGCTCACCCTCACCTCCCTGGCCAACCCCAGGACCACTGACAGACCATAGCTTGCTCCCCAAGCAAGCCACCCAGGCTGTCACCCATGGCCTCCCCCACCCTACCCATCCCCAGGACCACTCCCCCTCCACGTGGCCATTAACAGGGAAAACACACAGCCTATGGAACATTATGATACCCTGTAACACAAAAGCTCAGTGACCCTATTGAACATTTTGAATACCGTAGATGGAAAACCAAATGGTGCCAAAGGATCACAGAGCTGAACCCACTTTAAAGCGACACATACAGTAGGTACGGTACGGTTCAGTGCCCAAAATATACTATATGATCCTTGGAGGGACCAGAACATTTCTATCCTTTACAAAAGGGATAATGTATGTAAGGAGGACTGGAGGTTCAGCATGGAGGGACGGTAGTTCATCCCAGACCAACACCCACCACCTCACCATCTGCTGATGAACCAATGTACTCCAATGAGCACAAAATATTCCAAAGCTATAATCTGAGTTATAATCTGAGCTATAACCTTTCTATAAACTTACTTCAGATAATGCACTTTTATAGGTGATGTTTATAGCACTGAAATAATTTTGAGGTGACCATTTTTGTGCTTTGTTGTCCCAATAAAATTTAAATGCAGAGAAATTGAACGGGGGTGCTTTTCAATCCACATAGGCTACTATAACTGTGAATTAATGATGTAGCTATAATTATGTCCTGTAATTCTATTATTTTGAAGTGACATATGGTAACACGGCTGCCAAAGGAATTTAAATTGTCTGTGCTAATTGTCTATCAGGTTATTACTGCATTGTATATTGGAAGTATGGTTTTACCCAACAACACACTATCCCATGCTTAATAAAACTCTGTCTTAAATGCAAATAGATGAGCCATATGTTTCCTACAGACCAAGGACAGATGTGGGTTTACATGCACACTAATATTTCAATATTTATCTGATTATGGCAATACTCCGAGTTTGGCATTAGTAATTTTAATGCCTTACTCTAATTATGTTTATCAGAGTAAGGTCGTAATCTAAGCATAAACCGATCAAAACACCTGGGTTTTCAGCTCTTTTGAACATGTAAACCACACAGATCCTATTACATTTCTTTACATAGGATTCAATATGTAATTCTATGATGTAAACACATTAAATGTAAAATGCGAAGTTGAAACAATTACAAGGAAGACACCCCGCCTCTGTTTTGCAAAAAGCTGAGGGATGGGCAAATGTTACCATTCTCAAATTCATAGACAGAGCTATGGATGCAAGGACTGACCATCCAGGGACTGACCATCCATGACATCCAAATTAAAGTTTTAACCATGTTTTGAGGCTATAAAGTGTTTGTTTAAATTAACATTGTTTACAAACATTGGAATAATACAAGCTAATATTTTGGGTTATCATGGGCTACAGTTGAACTAAGCTAATGAGGCATTTATAAGTTATATTCTTCAAGAATCAAACTGTATATATTATTAATTTATAAGTCAAAAAATTGATGTAGCAACTGCAGATTGCCCCTTCAATCAAAGTACCTGTGTATGTGTTCTGTGCATGTGCTACCTATAGGCCTATGTGATTCCTGTGTATGTGTTCTGTGCATGTGCTACCTATAGGCCTATGTGATTCCTGTGTATGTGTTCTGTGCATGTGCTACCTGCCTCTTCCTATACGCAGACTATGCGCTGCGTGTAGGGCCCCGTAGGGCCCCCGACCCCCCAAAAAAGAGAAGTTTAGGAACTCAGTCGGAGTCTCAACATACTGTTAAGAGTTAGAAAAGTAGAATACACAAGGTGCAATTTCTAAATTGTATTGTGCATCAGCAGTTTTCCACTTCCACAGTCACTCAATTAGCACCTTTTTAGATTGCAGGGTAAGGTATTCTAGCCAGCCATCTAAATGGGTTGTTTGGATCTTGGATGCTGATTGGTTGATAGCAGGGAGTTATTCACCACAATCCCCGGGTAATGCTGGTTAACAGTTCCATTTAAATTGTCAATGAGCATCAACTGTGCCACTGCCCAGTCAGGCCATTCATAAACTTAATCTCCCCTGGAAAAAAGCGGCAAGACATTATTTCCCAATGCTTGTAGCCTAGCATTTGCAACATTGAGGGTTTGTCTAAACCAGGGGTGCTCGAAATGTTGGTATTGGTGGGCCAAAATATAATCTGAGTAGTGGACAAATAGACAATATTTATTTAGAAAAATAAAAGGTCAACAATAGCTTTTTCGGGTCTTTAAACAATAACTTTTTTGAAAGTAATCATAAAATTACACTTCAAACAATCAAATTGTAGCCATATAACTTGACACCTATCAACACATTCGGTTTAGCAGTATTAAAGATGTATTACATTTTTTATCATTGGAGCATAGAAACTGCAACCAAGTTTCTATGTTCATAAGGCTAATAACTTGCGTTTTGGGGGTGTCACGACTTCCTCCGAAGCTGCCTCCTCTCCTTGTTCGGACAGGCTTCGGCGTTCGTCGTCACCGGTCTTCTAGCCACTGCCGCTCCTCATCTCATCATTCCATTTGATTTGTCTTGTTTATTACACACACCTGGTTTCATATCCCCTCATCAGTACCTGTATAAGTGTTCCCTCTGCCCCCTTGTCTTTATGTGTGATTGTTTATTGTGGAGGTTAGTTTAGCTCAATGGAGCTCTTTGTATTTTGTATCACCGGGATATTCACCCGTGTGCCTTGTTGTTTCCAGTGCGCTGTATTTTCCGCACTGGAGTGTTTGATGCATTGCTTCGTACCGCTGTGTCAACGGAATAAACCTGTTATTCTGTGATTTACCCTCCTGTGCCTGACTCCTTCAAATCACATCACCACAGAATCACACACCCACCATGGAGTCAGCAGGAGAAGAGCCCATGCCTGGAGTCGTGGCACGGGTCCACAAGCATTCCAGGATGCTAGCCAGCTTGGGCGAAGCGATGGATCGGGTTCTCCAGGTCGTCCAACGCCTGGAGAGGGGAGGACCCGACCCGTCGGGACCAGCTGAGCGACCGGATCCGGCCACCCACACACCAACACCCCGAGGGATTCATCTATCCCGACCGAGGGAGTTTGACGGGATGGCTGCCCGCTGCCAGGGATTCCTCCTGCAGCTGGACCTCTACTTCGTGAACATCAGCCCGGCTCCATCGGAGCGGGAGAAGGTGTCCGCCACTTTCACATCACCCCAGGTAGCGCTAATCCACACTTGGTCAGAGCCTTCTACTGCACACTGCACCATACACGTCACCTTCCCTGACTACCCCGTAGTTTCCCAGTGTAAGGCGCTGGTCGATTCAGGCGCAGCTGGGAACTTTATGGACAGGTCATTAGCTCTAAGTCTAGGTATTCCATTGGTTCCCCTATCCACTCCACTGCCCATCAAAGCAATTGACAGTCGACCATTAGGGACAGGGTTCGTTAGGGAAGTTACAGCACCAGTCACGATGGTTACTCAAAGGACCCATAGAGAGGACCGGCCAGGGGAGTGGTTGGTGTTCTTGCCATGGGCCGAATATGCCCAGAACTCTCTTTGCCACTCTTCCACTAACCTAACTCCATTTCAACGTGTCTTAGGTTATCAGCCGGTTCTGGCACCGTGGCATCCAAGCCAGACCGAAGCTCCTGCGGTGGATGACTGGTTTCGGCGTGCGGAGGAGACTTGGAAGGCTGCTCACGTTCACCTCCTGCGCGCCGCGCGTCGCCAGAAGGCCAACGCTGACCGCCACCATAGTGAGGCCCTGGTTTTTGTACCGGGTGATCGGGTCTGGCTCTCGACCCGGAATCTGCCCCTCCGCCTGCCCTGCCGGAAGCTCAGCCCACGGTTTGTGGAGCCGTTCAAAGTCCTGAGGAGAATCAACAAGGTTACATATAGGTTACTACTCCCTCCCGATTACCGTATTAACTCCTAACATTTTAGTGGCTCTCCTCTTGGTGGCGGAGTTAAAAATGTGCAGCTTTAAAGTGAATGTCCTGGACTTCTACACATTTTTCCATGGGGCAGAGAGAGAATCTTACAGTTTTAAAAGTAATTGAGTGAGAGTGACTTGGGTGCACGGTTAGTAATTCGGCCATGATTACTACAAGCTGGCTGGACTAACTTACCTAGGAATCTATAAAATGTTAGCTGACATGGGCTAATTGATTGACGGTCAGTGACTGACATAACAAGAGGAAACATTTTAAGCTAAAATAATGCAATTTTTTTAACTGTCAAAATAAAGTTTCCCTGCCTGACAAGGATTGTCCCGACTTTCAAGAATCTCTGAGCTAATTTCCTGCTATTCTACGCTAAATGCGGGTGCTGCAGGGGGGTCTTTTTTTGCGAACTCTGCTGTGCCATACCAACGTGTCCAGAATAGGGTGACTAGATGTCCCCGATTTCCGGGGTCAGTCCCTGATTTTGGTGGCCTGTCCCAGGCTGGAGATTTCCCTGGAAATGTCTCCGATCAGCCCTCAGAAAGAAAAACTGTAAAGTGAAATTGAGGTTGATATTTTAATAATCAAACGCTTTATCCAATCTGATTTTCAGTGGTGTAAAGTATTTAAGTAAAAATCATTAAAGTAGGCTACTACTTAAGTAGTTTTTTGGGGTATCTGTACTTTACTTTTACTTCACCACATTCCTAATGAAAATAATGTACTTTCTACTCCATATAGATACCTTGATATAATAATATGCCATTTAACAGACGCTTTTATCCAAAGCGACTTACAGTCATGCGTGCATAAATTTTTACGTATGGGTGGTCCCGGGGATCGAACCCACTACCCTGGCGTTACAAGCGCCATGCTCTACCAATTGAGCTACAGAGGACCACATGATAGAAAATGAAAGTGAAAGTTTTACATAGCCTACTATCATAGTAGGCTATCAAAAGTAAATGTATTTGCTAAAATATAATTAAGTATCCAAA